GAGTGAAATGAATGAATTCACCACTCCTTTCTTCTCAGATTCTGTTCTGATGCATTGCCCTGCCTACCTCTCAATTCTTTTCTCTGTAGCAGTTATCCCTTTGCTTTACCCTGGCCTCGCTAGGGAAAAAGAGCAAAGTGCCAGAGGACTTTTAACTGAATATGGCAGTAACTTTGTAGCTCTATGTGATCACAGATTAAGAAGTTATTCTGGCTATGAAATGGTGAGATGGGATTGGATTTCGATAGCATTGCACATAGTAGACCCTTGACTGGTATTTATTGAATTGGCTTGAATTCTGGGATATCATTATCATATCCAGTAATTTGAATTCTCCCTTTATTCTCTTCCTACAGGCAATTTCAGAGATTGCCCTGCTGACTGAATCAATGGACAGAGTGAACCATACTGATGTATATGAGTTTGTATTCCTGGGACTCACTAATTCTTGGCACATTCAGCTTCTGCTCTTTGCATTTTCCTCTGTTTTCTACTTGGCAAGCATGCTGGGAAATTCCCTCATTGTGTTCACAGTGACTTCTGATCCTCACTTACACTCTCCCATGTACTTCCTGTTAGCCAACCTTTCCTTCATCGACTTGGGGATTTCTTCTGTCACTTCCCCCAAGATGATATGTGACCTTTTCAGAAAACACAAAGTAATTTCATTCTCTGGCTGCATCACTCAGATGTTTTTTATTCATTTGATTGGTGGTGTTGAGATGGTGTTACTCATAGCCATGGCTTTTGACAGATATGTTGCCATATGTAAACCTCTCCATTATTTGATTATTATGTGTCCAAGAATGTGCACTTTACTTCTGGCTGCTGCTTGGATCATTGGCCTCATCCACTCAGTGGTCCAAATGGCTTTTGTAATTAACCTGCCCTTCTGTGGTCCCAATGAATTGGATAGTTTTTACTGTGATCTCCCTCGGTTCATCAAACTTGCCTGCACAGATACATACAGACTTCAGTTCATGGTCACTGCCAACAGTGGCTTCATGTCCTTGGGTGTCTTTCTCATTTTGATCATATCCTATATTTTCATCCTAGCCACAGTTCAAAAACATTCATCAAGAGGTTCTTCTAAGGCTCTGTCTACTCTTTCCACTCATATCATTGTGGTGATTTTGTTTTTTGGTCCAACCATCATTTTCTATGCATGGCCATTTAACACATCACATCTGGATAAATTTCTTGCTATCTTTGATATGATTCTGACTCCCTTTCTGAATCCAGTCATCTACACACTAAGGAACAAAGAGATGAAATTGGAAATGAGAAGAGTGTATAGCCAGCCTGTGAATTTCAGGAAAATCTCTTAAATAACTTGATGAGAAGGCAAGAACTTTGAATTTCCATAATCAGAAAGTCTGGAAAAAGAAGTTGTAAGGGGAGAGGATGAATTTGGTTTTGAGCCTGTTGATTTTGAATTCCTAAGGGGATCCAAATGGGAATTTCAAATATGGATTTGGAAACAGGAGCCTAGAGATGGGTGAGAGCTTTGAATGTTGTCTACATAAAAACATAACTCTAAGAATAAATATGCATGAGATCATCTCTGGAGAGTATAGATGGAGCAGAAAGGAAATCCTAGGGCAGAAATTTGAGGGGATTTACTATAATTATGAGATGGAAGGAAGCTAATGAAAGCTAGTGAAAGAAATAGAGATACAAAGGCAAAATTAGATTGAGAAGGTTTCCATGCCAGAAAACTCTAACATGAAGAGAATTTTTTTAAAGGGGTGTTTGTTGACAATTTAAAAATGAGGAAATAACCACAGATTTTTTGTTAACTCATCACCAACTCCAGTGCAGAATCCTTTCTTGTGGATTCTAGGTGCATTAATTGCAGGAAAAAATAATTTGTGCCATTAATTGTCCTTGTCCCTTGTCCATTTTAGTTCCTTTGAGGAAGCCTGTCAATCTTTTTTTGAAAAAGTGAAGTATCATTACTATAAATATTGTGTATGTAATCTTTTTTTAAAATAACATGGCTTTGAAATCACTTAAAAAGTACTCATGGAATGTTTTTTTGTTTGCTTAATACACATATTTATTGTGTACCTAATGAATCATACTGTAGGGATTTATTGATTCTGTTAGATTAGATTCTCTTTGAATTTTTTGAAGAAGAATCTTTTCTTTATGTGAAGAAACAAGATTTTTAAGAGATTGATCAAACACTGCACTCTGTGTTAATCTGTTTGCCATTTAACCCTTCTTGTGATTGCTACTTTTAACCTTTTACACGTATTTGCTCTGGGCCTCTATTAAGCTTTTGCAAAAAAAGTCTTTGGACCTCTTCTTAATCACTCAATTTCTAATCTTTACTTTTCAAAGTAAAGCTTGAATTTGTGTATAGTTCTTAAGCTAGAATCAAATACTTTCATGAAGGATTCTATTGGTTTTTCATCACCAAACAAAATGTTAATTTATTCATTTATAAAATTCAATTCAACTCAATTAATTTTAAATGTTTCTCAAATGTTAGGCCCTCTAATATATGCTAGGCAGATATACATGTATATAAGTGTATATGTACATATACATATATATATACATACATACATACATACATATATGTATATGAAAGAAGTTCATGCCATCTAGGAATTTACATTCCACTCAGGATGGTGTGGATCCAGCATATGTACAAATAAGTAAGTACAAAACATGCAAAGAAATAGATGGAGAAAGTGCTTGTAACTGGAGGAATCAGGAAACACCATGAACATGAGCTGGAAACCGAACTATATATTTTAAAAGGGACTACAAATTCTTTTGTTCTCTGGAATCATGACTGGTCAAGAACTGGTTAAGAACTCCATTAAATGGAATTCTTAAGCCTTTCAAAGTTGTTTGTCTTAGAATGTATGTCTTAGACATACCTGGTCAATGTGGGACTTTATTTTGCTTGACTACATTTTTGTAACAGGAATTTTCTTTCTTTTTTTCCTTTTCTTTTCTTTTTCTAGTGGGGTGGAGGGCAGAGGTGGGAAAGGGACAAAATAGACTTTTCTTTGTTGAAAAAAATGTCCTTTACATTCCCACCGAAAATCTCGGGGACATTCCTTCTCATAAGTTTGGTGTGTGGAACTCTTTCCAGAGGTTGATTACTAGTCTCTTGTTCTTTCCTCATTACTCTTCATTTCTCATTTGCTACAATCTGTCGTTCTGCCCTTTTGTTTAAATTTTTGAAAGATTTGTGGTCACTAGATTTCATCAGTTTACTCACTCAACAAACACTTGCTGGGTTTATACTAGGTGACTTGCATTTGATCAGGACTGTGGAATATGCAGAGAAGGATAATACTTTGTCATACCCTCAAGAAGTTTACAATCTAGTGATATGCGCAGCTCAGCAAATGTCAAATAAAAATACAAATGATAACAATTCTAGAACCACCCAAAAGCAGCGTATATTTCTTGATACCAAGGGATCAGAATGGACCATTTCATGAAAGCTCTGAATTTAAGAGAAGGAGATATCATTGTGGCTTAGAGTGGTCAGGGAAGTCATCATGGAGGAAGTGGCAACTAAGGTGAATCTTGTAGTATGGGTAAAATGTGACATACAGACCTAGGGTGTGAGATAGAGTATTTTAGGCAGAGAAAATAGTGACAAGAAAAGCCAGGAGTTGGGCAAATATACAAAAACAATTTTGGGAAATGAGAAAATAGTCCTGGATGCTTGGAAAATAGCATGTGTAAAGGAAAATAGTAGGACATAAAACTCAAAAGATAGGCTGGAATGAAACTGGGGTCTGTACTGAATGCCATCCTAAGGATAAAGTTCTTTTTTTATTTGATAAATTCATCTACTCAAATGAGATAATGTATGTACAATACTTAACAAATCTTAAAGCACTATGGAAAAGTTATTATTAAATAATGGGGAGCCATTGAAGGTCATTGAGAAGAGTTATGTTTTAGGAAGATCAATATCATATCAGAGTGGATTAATGGAGGGTGGGAAGGAGAAACTAGACATAAGAATATTCCCTACAGGTTACTTGTAATAGTCTAGGTGAGAACCAATGAGGATTTGAATTAGTTTGGGACTAGAGAGAAGAGGAAGAATATAAGATAATGTGGAGGTAATATCAACAGAATTGTGCTGTTTTGATCTTGAGTACAAAGGAGATAGGCAATTCGAGGATCATTCAGTTTTTATGATAGGGAAAATATTGTAAGAAATAGGGAAGTTCTGAATAAGGCTCAAATTTTAGAGAAAAGTTGCTGATTTAGACCAGCACATAAGTGAAGAAGCAGAAAGAGGGGATAGTCAACAAGCAGAAGGTGGTGAACGATTTCAGGGTCCTAGGTAGAATGTAAAACAAATAGATAAATGTTGGGTTCTAGATCTTTAGGAGGACAAACGAAGTCAAAAGGTGGCATCTTTCAGAGAACCCAGCTCTGGCTTCTCCTTTCCTCATGATTTTTTAGCTTAGAAGAAACTTTCATTCATGCATTGACTAATGTTCAAGTTTGTTGAAACTAGTTATGTGACTTGACCCACAGAGGAGTTTTTATTAATGAGTCTACTTCAATTTGGAATGATGTTTCTAGTGGATTGGCCCAGGAATCTCCCCTTATCCCTGTACCATTCACCATTTCAATTATTGACTTGGCTAATGGCATATATGATATACTTATTAAATTTAAAGATAAACACAAACCAGAAAGGACACATTTGATACCACAGGCTTGGTGAAAAAATGGTTTTGCCCAGCTAGAATGACAGGATTAACTTAATAAGTTGAAATTTAATAGTAACAAATGTAAAATCCTAGACATCAGTTGAACAATAATCTTAAAAAAAATCTAGGATGGAGGAGGCCTGCATAGAAAATCGTCTGTGTGAAGCAGATTTGGGGCTTTAGTGGACAATCAGGTCAAAATTAGTCAGCATATAGGATGGCAGCTAAACAAGGAAGTGCTCTCCAGGCTTCCCTACTGCATGTACAGTGACCAAAGTGAGGGATATGATAGTTCTAGTGTACTCCATACAGAGCAAACTACATTTACATTATTTGTTCATTTCAATTCATTTCATTTCAGTTCAGTTTAAAAAGGATATTGACAATCTACATAGCACTGATAGGATACTGGAGATTACGACATGTGAGGAGTACTATGATCCAAGGGAAGAAGTATTAACCATCTTAGCCATACAAAAGTGAACGATTACCAGTTAACTTCCATTGGGAGTTTTTTTTTGTACTTTGAATCCATCACCTTTCTGTCAGGATGTGGGTAACGTACTTCATTGTATATCCTCTGGAGACATGATTGGTCATTGCATTAATCAGAGTTCTCAAATTTTCTGAAGTTGTTTTTCTTTACGTTGCCCTTGCACAAATTTTTCTCTTGGTTCTGCCCATTTTTCCCATCAAGTCATACTAGCTAGGATTCTTTGAAATAACTTCTTTTATAATTTCTTGTGGCACAGTAACATCCCATTTCATTCATATAACACAATTTGTTCAGCCATTCCCCAAATGATGGGCACATTGTTAGACTCTAATTCTTTTCTTTTTCATCCTCCCCTCTTAATTTCCGCCTATAAGATCATGACGTCTGTTTTTCATGTAAATATTACCTCCTTGGGTTATTCTTATTCTCACTCCACCTTCCCCATCTCTTATTGCTTCCTTGTTATTTGATGTATTTCTACACCAAATTATGAATGTTCAACCATTTTTTGTTCAGTTAGTATATGAGTGAGGTTCAGTTGATATTTGTTTCCTTCTTCCTTCCTCCATGTTTGAATACTATTCTCGTGCACCTCAATTATGAAAAATACTAGGTTCCAAACTTTTTTCCTCCTTTCATCACAAGTGTATTCCTTTTTATTTTCCCTTCTCTTTTCCCATAAACATTCAGAACAGAACTAATACATTCCCAGGCCCTCCATTTTTTAAAATTTAACTCCCAATATTCTTTGAAGACATTCAGGCTCTGAAGATGAAGTTATTTCTTTTCTCCCTATGAAAATGTGACCATTACACCATCACATGATACCTTTTAAGTGCTCAAATAAGTTTACCTTTGAAGATTTCTCTTGACTCTTGAGTTTGTATTTCAAAATGCCTTCTTGGTTGTGGTCTTTTCATCAGGAATGCTTGAATGCATTCTTATTCACTAGAAGTCCAATTTTTCTCTCTGCTATTTAGATTAAATTATTGTTGTTCGTAAACCTACATAACTTGTCTTTTGGAAGAATGTATTCCAAGATCTCTTCTTTTGAGATCTTGACTGTGGTACCTTGTTATTGGAACTACTTGTTTTTGGACGTTTGTCTTTGTGTGAGCTCTGGATT